AAAAAAAAAAAAAAAAATTCAAGTAATACAGAATTGAGAGAGGTAGGCTGAGATCCATGCAAATACAGGCTTAGCATTCCCAGTCTGAAACTCCAAAACTCAAAATGTGAAACTTGTTGAGTGCTGACATGACACTAAAAGGAAATGTTCATTGGAACATTGAAGACTTTGGGTTTTTGGATTGGAGATGCTGAACCAGTAAGTGTAATGCAAATATTCCAAAACTTGGAAAACATCCCAAATCCGAAACACTTCTGTTATCAAATGCTTCAGACAAGAGATACTCAAAAGCATAAAGCCCCAGAACAGAAAACAAAATTCAGACCTATACAAGGTCTTGCACAGACCGTGCTAGGGAGTTCAGATTCTGTTTGAGCCAGTAGGAAGCACTGAAAGGTTTTAAGCAGGACAGTGATTGGATATGATTTATATTTTAAAGAGAGTCCCTGGCTAATTCATGGAGAATGTGTGGGGGTGGATGGCAAAAGTGGAACCAGGGGAGACCAGTGGGGAGACTTCTGAAATGGTCCAGGTAAGCAGTGGAGCGGATGGCTGGAGGCTGGAGAGAAGCAAAGGGTTGCGTGGAAGAGGTTGAAATGGCAGGGCTTGTTCCAGGAGTGAACATGGAGAATGAGGAAAGGAGAGAAATCGAGGAACACCTGAAGGTTTTGGCATGAGCAAGTATGTGACTCCAGGTTAGGCCTTGCCTACTAAGATTGGGAAGATAGGAAAAGTCCCAGGGTGAGTTGGGAGGAAACAGAAGCTGAGTTTTGGACCTGTTTGAGATGTGCAGTGGACATCAAATTGGTGGTGTTAGGTAGACAGTATTAAATGTGGAGCTCAAAGCAGAGTATTGGTCCATCCTGACAGAGGTACCTTCAACAAAAGGGAGAAAAACATTTACTTTGGACATTAAGAGGCCTCAAAATCTAACTTAAAGTAATATTTTGTTACATGTACTTTCCTTGTTGTGACTGGCATGAGAATTTTGTGTTATAGAAGGTAATCGTCCTCTCTGCATTTAGTTTGAAAGGGTACGAGTGATTTACAAGTATGCCCTGGACAGAATTTCAAAACAAGATGCCCAAGAACTCTTTAAAAATTATACCATCTTTGAGAAGAAGTTTGGTGATAGGCGGGGTATTGAAGATATCATCGTGAGCAAACGGAGATTCCAGTACGAAGAAGAAGTGAAGGTGAGCGCTAGTGTGCATGGTCAACTCTGCAGATAGCCAAGATGTGCTCACCAATACTAGCAACACTAAAATAAATAACAGCAAGTTAGCACTACCAGTGATTACCCTCTTGATGATGTGCCTGTGATCAATTGGCAGCTATTTCAGACAAGTAGGAATAAACAAGGGTGATAGAAAAGGCAAGCAAACAACACTTGGATTTGCTCTGCCACTCACATGTTGAAAGTCATTTTGTTGATTGCTGATTATATGTAGAACTTGAGCAAAAGAAATGTGGAATCCATTTGAGCTCATTGTTGGGAGGAGGTGGAAGAGTCAGAGATTGGTCCAAAAACCTGTTTTTGCACATCACCTTTGAGCTTAACTGCCTGAACAAAAGATTTATGCTTTGCAGGGTTCTATTGGCAACTCTTTTTTCTGTAATGTGCTATTTTGATTTCCATTCAAAGAGAGTAGCATTTTCCTTCAGTATTCTGCTGTGTATTTAAAAATACTTTTGCTTAGTCTAATTAAGATACCTCCAAGCAAAGGACTAAGTCTATTATTAAATGAGGTGGTAGGTTAGCAAGATATATTAATGATAAATTACTGTTAATTGGAAAGGCAAGTTTAACAATTGTGAGCATGATACAATTCTATTGTAATTTGGTTACAGACATAATGATATGTAGTTACATATATAAGCAAATGCATTGATAAAAAGAGGCATCTAATTATTGACTATCTTGAAAGTGATGGCTGTAGAGAAGGGGGCCTTGCTGTGGGATACCTGACCAATAATCTATCCTCTGTATTTCTGTTTCTTTTCTATATATGCATCTCAGGGATGGTGTTTTTAAAATGAGAGAACATGGAAAATTTAGAAGAGAAGGTGCTAAAATATAGAAAGTCAGGCTGGAGCCTAGCCTTTTTTCAGCTCACTTAATCTGGCAAGCGCAGCTCTTGGTTTTGTTTTTTATTTATTAAACTGGTTGTCTTTCTAGGCGAATCCACACAATTATGATGCATGGTTTGATTACTTGCGCTTGGTGGAAAGTGACGCAGAAGCTGAAGCCGTGCGAGAAGTCTACGAAAGGGCCATTGCCAACATCCCACCCATTCAGGAGAAGAGGCACTGGAAGCGCTACATTTATCTTTGGATCAACTATGCACTCTATGAAGAATTGGAGGCAAAGGTGAAAAAAAAACCAGAATTATGCATCAGCTGTTAATGGTTTTCTCTCCTCTGTATTCACGGCTCACCTATTGTGGATATTTATAATTCTTGAAACCAAGAAATTTAGTTTTAAATTTTTATAGGCTTCTATTTAGTCATACAGTTACATATTCACTCTGCAACATTTTAAACTCTCTGTGCTTGTTGTGGTCACATGTGGGGGTTCTTTGGTTTGGTTTGGTTTGGTCTTTACTTGAGGCACAACAGGATATCAGTTGGAGCTTAAAAGGGAATGGGGAACCAGCCCTTAGTTTAATTAAATATAGTTTTCTGGATTTTCTCATTAATAGGAATAATCATGGCTAGATTATGCATTCTTGCTTTGAGGAAAAATCAAGTGGCATTTTTAGAAATCAGTTGTATTAACCTTCCGGGGTTGATCTGAGACTATAAAACATCTTTGTTTCTGCTATCAGGCAAAATGGCTTTCTACAAAGAAGAACTTAGAGTTTGGTGGCTGTCTTGTTGGTGATTCTTAAACTGAAGTTTGATGGCCGTTCATACTTTAGATCATAAATGAAATCGGGGTTTGCAAGTAATAACTTGAGAAACATATTCAATGTTGGGGGTGTACATTTTTACTAGTATCAGTAAAATTAGTGACTAGTAAGATGAGTGTTAGTAGCAGCCTTCAATATTATGTGAAAATTTCTTATCCTAATACAGGATCCTGAGAGGACGAGACAGGTATATCAAGCCTCTTTGGAACTAATTCCTCACAAAAAGGTATGTTTGCTCTAAAGTGTTCATTACAAACAGGTCAAAATCCTCTTGTTTTGCTTGTGAAGTAATTCAGTGAAATAATATTGATTGATAAAATACTTCCCTGTGCTAGGCACCATGGACGAGCATAAGACTGAGATATGTTCCTTGCCTCTGAAAACAGCTCACAGTCTAGTTTGGAGGACAACTTGCATTGACAAACAAATAATAGAAATTCAGAGAAGGCTAGGTAATTCAAATAGTATGAGTGGAAGGAGAAAGATGTCCATGCAGAGAGCAGACAACATGTGTAGGGGACACGGAGGCGGATTGTTGGTAACAGTGAGTGTGTGCATGCACGGATCAATGTGCTCCTTCTGTAGATGGTTGAGATGTTACCTCTGCCTTGTTTCCCAGCATGAGAAATAAAACGTGTTTCCTTCTGTAGAAGTGTTGACCAAATTCCTTTTTAGAATGGAGGTAGGACCTTCTGCCCCCATACAAGCATGCCCACAAAACAAAGTTTGTTCTGAGGAGAGGCTACCATGTCATGCATTATAGTATCTGGATCATGATTTGTGTTTCTAACTTCTGTGGCATGACTGAGGTCTTCTTTGCTTGTAAATAAGCAAAGTGCATCCCTCTTACTCTGAAGTTTTAGAGAAATTGAATTACCAATGGCCTTGGTTAATTTAAATGTATTTTAATTTAATTTAATTTGAATGAGGCTTTTAAGCTAGATATTTTTGTGCTTTTGTTTTCTAGTTCACATTTGCCAAAATGTGGATACTCTATGCACAGTTTGAAATACGACAGAAAAATCTGTCATTAGCCAGAAGAGCATTGGTAAGTATAGAAAGGATCAGGATGTCTCATTAAGTTCTCTGAGAAAGAAATTAAAATCTTGGTGCTTGGAAGTTATACAATTCCTACTTTAAAAAGCGTCAGAAGTATTATGCCTTTGTAGCCTGGGAAATGTTAGAAAACATTCATCCTCTGAAAAAACACTGACTAATAATGCTTAAATGATTTTTATTACCTAGGGCAAATTAACATTTCTGTTTCAACATTGGAAACTTCTCTAGCTACCAGTTACTAGATCTTTCCACAGACTAGAATTGGTAATCTGATCCTGTGCAAATGTTTTGGTGTATTAAATACAATTTTAATTGTTCTACTTTTTTTTTTTCCTTTTCCCCTTTTTTTTTTTTTTTTTTTTTTTTTTTTTTTTT